TTATTTCTATCTCTTATTATTTTTCTGTTTCTGTTTGCCATGCCAGGTTTTGCAAATTCAACCCAAATTTCTACTCGCTTGAACAAAATGAAAACTATTTCAAATTGTTGCATTATTTGATAGATTTAAAAATTAATATGTTTCGTTCTTCTATCTTTCCTATTATCTTTCTCGAAAGGGAATTAAATATTTAAGAAAAATTAAATACTAGTAAAAAACAATTATTATAGTTACTGCACTTCTTAGTAAAGCGTAGCAACACTTTTCATATCGGGGTATTTTTACACAAAATAAAAATGATTATTCTGACAACAAAAACGAGTTGAGGTGATGTGAAAATTTGGACACAAGTTATAAGTTCAGACCTTCATCAAATTGTACAAAAAAATGCGGGTAAAAACATTACCAGTCTATCATGCCATAAAAAACCCTATGGAGTCCTGTTAACAATACTTGATTAAACACGAATAATTGATGATCAGGAAAAATGCAAAACTAAAAAAGTTAATACTTAAAAGTTTCAATTGATACTTGCATCATTACGCTTCTAGAGTTTACAGCTAACATTTTCTACAGAACAGTATTATTAAGGTATGATATTTTGAATGTGTCGAAGGGAATCTTGGGAAGTTCTAACATGTTAAGGAAATTACTTAAGATTAGTATTTCCAATTGAAGATTTTATACATTCTTCATTTCAATTTTTACACATGAAAAGTAGCATATGACATAAGTATGTTTTTGACAAACGTCAGTTGTAATTTCTTTTTATAAATATATCACTTATACAATGAATTGTTACATGTACGATTAACTTGGCAGCTTTGAAATAAAGTGCACTCTTTCTGTAAACGGTGTTTTATCTGTGTAAAGCGGGAACTTTATAATGAAAACATATAGAAATGTGTCATCTGTATTTCTTGAAAAGGGAATAAGTGGGTTGGATGGATTATTGTATCAATCGATACATCGATTATTTTACTGTTACTTTACTTGAAGTTGGTTGCTACAATGACGACATTTCTTTGCAAATATTGAAACAAACAATAGAAAGGACAGCTGTCTGTATAAAAAGGTGTTTTTCAAATCGGATTAATTGAAAATTATATCTTAACCGCGTTTAATTAGAAGATTTCGGCTGTGCATCCACAAAGTTAGCTTTTAAAACAAACTCTTAGCTGTTACAATTAATCTAAGTTTCTTGGATCTTGATGCAGATTACATTACATGCTTTCAAAAGTATTACGTTGAAGTGAACGACAGTGTGATATAATTGTCAACTAAATATGTCTCTTAAAGACCTTCGTAAATTTCCCTAGCTAGAAGGAAAGTATTAGGTATAAGCGATAAGCAGTTGCAACATAATATGCATGAATGTCAATGTCAAGAAATAACAGATTAGTGCTATAATAGTGCTCCATTATTAAAATGTCACAGCACAAGCGATGAAAAAATAAACATGTCCGTGTGGTCATCCCACACAGCGATTTTTTATTTAAACAAGAATGGCGATACCATAGTATTGACCTTTTGCAATTACTTTTGGTGTAATAGCGACGCGTTGGACACTGATACAATCTATATATATCAAGTTGCAATGAAATATAATTATCGAAATTTATCAAATCGCATTGGCCCATTGAGAATCAATCTTGCGCAGCATTCAAATTAACATAAATAGGCACGTCAATAATTATATTAAATGATTAAAACGATCGCTTTAAGTAAATAAACTGCAATAAACGTTTTTATTTTAAATGTTTAATCGGTATAATAACACAAAGCATTCTTGAATTTTAATTAAGATAGTCGCATATAGATATTTTTAAGAAAATACCAATGTCTTTGGCTATGGAATTTAGATTAAGAGGATTTTTTATAAATACTAAATATACTATTAAGATAAATCAGACAAATTATTGACAACTGCGTTTGTATCTATTTTAGTTTATCTTTCCATATTTTGCTTGACCTAAGACCTCATTTGACATTTACATCTTCAAGGTACTTTTTAATCTTAACTAAGCTAAGCTCAGATCTATCATTTAGTCAAATACATTTTTGTGCAACAATTCATTCACTTATTGATACTCATTGGGATATTTCGTAGTGTTAAGGGCATGACGAGACCGATACCTTTACCTGCAAAACACTGTTGAATAACAACACAATTAAAATGTATACGCAACGTGGTACAGTTGACTCTCAATAAGTCAAAATCGCTTTACTCGAAATTCTGCCTTAGTCGAAAAATTTCTAAAGTCCCGTCAAATTTCCTTCTTTATCTTTGTATTTTAACTCCGCTTAGGTCAAATTTTGACTTACCGAGACTCCTGTTTAGTCGAAAAGAAAATTTGGTCCCGTCAGTTAAAGTACAACATATTTTCATCTCAATTAGTCGAAGTGTGAAAACAGCCGACTGATCAAAGGTCGGCGACATCAAGGTGAGATGTTGTCACTCGTGATTTACACGTTTCATAGTAATTTTTAATTGCCGGTCATCATGTATTATTAAAACGTCGTTTAAGTGGCTTTAATCCGTTTCAGGACTTAATTGGTTTTAACAGTTATATAACTAAATTAAAATGTAATTACATTGTCATTTCAATGGTCAAATATTGCAGCATTGCCGCTAACAACAATAACAACCTACTTCTTTACACATTCAATCAGGCACATGTATATACATGTACGAATGTCAACGTAATGGCGGTAGTTCCACATTACTCGAATTCCGTTTCTCTCGAAGTAAAATGCCCAGTCCCTTGGATTTCGAGTTACCGAGAGTCAACTGTATTTCAATAAGTATAAAAAATGGGATTTGTTTACTGGTAAATGACATTACAGTTTCAGTCATTTAGATAAAGCAGTTGCTGCTGATAACTTCCTCGCTATCTCACGCGGGAATAAGTGTGATATTGAATGTTCCATATCCACCAGCTACAACCAACTTGTTGAGAAAAGGCGACACATTCTTATCGGCATTGTTGACACAATAGTATTCTGTGGCAGACAGAATATTGCATTAAGAGGCCACAACGACGAAAGTGGTAACTTTCAAGCTTTATTAAGACTTCAAGCAAAGAACAATACTATTTTGAAGAAACACTTGGAATCTAGCGACCCTTGCACGCTTTACACATCTCCAAGTATTCAAAATGAGCTTATTTCTATCGCAGGAGAACAGATCTCTTCAGATTTAGTAGCTGCATGCAATAAAGCTGGGATGTTTGGGTTCATTGCTGACGAAGCCACGGATGCATCAACAATGGAGCAGATGGCATTGTGCGTGAGATTTGTCGACGGCAACATTGTTCGTGAGGAATTTTTGGGTTTCTCAGAGACTTCCAGCACTACCGGCGAGGCACTCTCAACTGCATTCCTACACAGGCTTGATCAATTAGGTAATAAAGTAAAACATATATATTTAGAGTTATATACTCATATAAAATATTTAGTTGAAAAAAATTTAATTAATTCCTTATATTATTTTCATCAAAATTTCAAAGTACGTATTCTCTCTCTGGGTTCGGATTGATTATCCTCGGACCCTAACCTAAACGATTACAACTTACAAGGAAAGGTGTTCGGCGCGTTGATTGGTCATTACCCCCACCCGCACCTTTACCCACTCTTCAACCCTCCTATAGTCTAATTTTATTGACCTGTCAATAATGAATGATTATAGTACTCATTAAAAATATTCGACCACACTTCTGTTCTGTACCTGTACTGTAGATTACGAAAATTAATATGGAGCATAAAACTAATGTTTTGAAAAAGTGACACAAGCTAAAAGTATGGGGTGTCATCACATCTGCTAAACCACAGTCTGTTAAGTGATTGCCTAATATATGAAAGGTCTGTTGTTCGATCCCTAATATTGCCATTGTTTTACACCTGCTTTTTATTTTGTGGAAATGGCCAAATACGAAGCAACTTAGAAACACATGTATTTAACGGCATTGAAATAACATCAATTGATTTTAATCCGAATGAATTTTAAATCATGTTATTTGAAAAGAGTAAAGACAAAGTAAGTGCAAAACCAGAGAGATGTAGATGACATCTATGTCTCTGTCAAAACATATAAAACAAAACGAAAATCATAAAAATCATAGAAAACAATCATTCTTCAAATATGTTGAAAAAACAAATAAGAAAAAAGAACATGAATATACGCGATCTCGATCTTACAACACGTATGGCATTTTGAAATTATAAACCTATTGCGCTGTATAACGCATTTCATAGACTCAAATTAAATTTTATCACTTCTTCATCTCACGAAACTTACCGAAAATTTATAAAGATTAATATATTGTGTGCATTGACAGATTAATAAAAATAAACGATATATAAACATCAACCTGTAAGAGTACATGTTCAATATTTCATTTTATCTTTAGCAGAATGAAGAAAAATATAAATAAAACAGCATTTTTATTCATGCTTTGAATTGCAGTAAACATTTTTATTACAGTAAGTTTTTCTTCTTCTAAAACTACATGTATCTCTTAAAATTAAAATTCCATGTACTCGTATATGAATTGTATGTGTTAAGATTTATGAAAATATTTTTCATTTGATTTTACGTGTACTCGATTAGGATGCTGGTTTAAGTTCGATCCACCGATCCGTATCCCTAAGTGTCTATGAATATATTTTAAATTTTCAGGCAATGTACCCTCTAAAAATGGCATAAGGGGAGCTATGTCCTAGTGGTTAAGGTGTCTGACTGTCAACCCAGGGATCATGGGTTCGAACCATAATTGGGTCACGACCATGATACTTTATATGACACCAGTACTGGTTGGTTCCAGGAAGTGTACTCGAAAGTGATTAATATAAGTTGCAAGAATTTTTGTCGCAATCAAGCTTAAATATATATGTTTATTAAAATAAACCAAAATGGCAAAAAAAGTTAATATTACTTGCAAAACCGAAAATCATTCATGTTTGCAATGTATGCATTTATTTGCAGGTATCGACATTAAGAACATGAAGGGGCAAGGTTATGATGGCGCCGCGAACATGTCCGGGGCGTATAAAGGTGTACAGGCACGTATCCGTGAACGCATCCCAGATGCCGTATACTCGCATTGTAAGGCACATTGTCTTAATCTTACAATAGTGCATTCTTGCAAGGTGGAGTTCGTTCGAAACATGATGGACGTAGTTCAGATAATTGCATTTGCATTCAGTTATTCAGCGAAGCGTTTGGCCCAGTATAAGCAGACATTGGAGGGAGACCCTGAAAGTCTTGAGCAGATGCAGGAGCGACGTCATCTGCAAAACCTATGTGAGACCCGATGGGCAGCGAGAGCCGATGCATTGACAACGTTCCTTGCTTCGATTAGGTATTTATCATTGTTATTTCAGTTCAGCAGCTACCTCATATATTAAATATAAAATGATATCATTAAACTGTAATTACCCGCCTACAATGTCATTTATTGTATATACCGGTATAGGTATATGTTAGATGAAATATCCGGTGTACAGTTAACGCTACATAAAACAAACTGCATGTAGTATTTACCGCTTGGCGATTGAAAATAAATTGATAATATGTTTTAATTTAGTTTCCTCTTGTTGTTATCCTTTCTTTATCATATTAATTTGACATTTGGTGTATATCTATTTATGCCATCAGGACAGTTGTTACAGCATTGCAGACGCTTTCAGACAATGGCGATAGTAAAGCTACTGGTCACTGTCTGTCTATTCAGCAGTTTGGATTTATTATCACATTGGTGGCATCGCAGCACGTTCTGGAGGCGCTAGTACCTTTGTCCCTTACACTGCAGAAAAAAGACTGCAATCTCGTGCGAGCCCTCACAGACACCAAAGTTGTCATTAAAACATTGCAGGTATATAAATGCAAATACGACTGTAACATGCTGCTCATTTCTTCCTTTGTCAAATTGAGATTAATAAATTATGTTTTTAAAAGATTTACCATTAGAATGATCACAGACCAATAAATAATTTAGATAAAGTATAAGACCTACCTGATATCTACCTAATATTATAAAAGATTGCTACGTTTTTATCAGCTGAACATTACAATGTTTGTTTACATCTAAATTACTTTGTAGCTTATATTTTGCCAGGCTATAAAATATCTCGTATTATCTCACATTTTAGAATAATAATTTATTATATACATTTTCTTACAAATAATTATATAATTATTACATATAATTTGATCAATTAGAATGAGCGAGCTGATGATGCAGTATGGGATGCCCTGTTTGAGAAAGCTGTTAACGTGGCTTTAGGAGTTGACGTCCAACCCAGCATGGCACGCAACGTTGGCCGCCAGCAACACCGTGCAAATGCCCTCTGAGTTCTGGAGGGTAAACATGTATTACCCATTCATTGACCACTTGTTAACAGAACTTAATGACAGGATCCTGCAATGTGGAGATAGGTTCGAGGCACAATGGTTGATTCCTGCACAGGTAATTAATACAACATATTTTTTATATGAATTGATGAAATGATATTAGTCACTAATATTTAAATATAGCTTTTAGGACAACCAGTATTTCCGACACTGAATAGTTGTATATATTTTTTGTTTTCAAATGAATTGAGTTAAAAAATCAAGCATAAAAGTTATTTAAAATAATATTTTTAATTTGAATTCTATGGAGTTGTACATGTGTCATTTATACTCATCATTTAAACTTTTATTTATAAATATAGGTAGAAAAGTATGGGCTGACAGATGACCGATGCTTGAGAATCTACAGAGCTTTACAGTCTTCTCTCAACGTAGATGAAATGACGTTTTTGAGAGAATGTCACAGATGGCGGACTTGGTGGTGTGATATCGGTCTTGTAGACAGCCGTCCTCAATCCCCGGATGACATTGCGGCAACGCTTGTTTTAGCGTCAGAGGATTCTTATCCAATTATTCGCAAATGCTTGATTCTGCTTGCAGTTGTTCCTGTATCAACATCTACGGCAGAACGATCATTTTCTACGATGCGCCGGGTAAAGACTTACTTACGAAGCACCATGGGGACAGAACGGATGAGTGGCCTGGGCTTAATGAACATTTATCGAGAGCGGGAGTTAGACGTAAACACTTTTGCAAATAGGAAACCACGTCGTCTTGCTTTACTTTTTAAGGTGTAAAACGAAAATTAGGCAAAACATCAACTATTAGTTTGCCTTTAGGAAATGGTAACTTTTTCCTGCGATTAATGAAAACCAGTTCATTTTCTTTATGAATTTAATGGATTAAGGATGGTCAACTCACGTTGACTGTATTTCATTTGTCAAATCTTGAAAAGTGATGATTTTGTGTAGATGATTAAATACATTTCTTGAAATCTTTTGACTTAATTTTTCATTTTATCGACACTAATTTGATATAAAAATTCAAAATCTAAGCATCTCTGAATGGCAAAATTCGTCCGGTTTCCGGGGGCTTCGCCCCCTGGTCTCCCATCAGTGCTCTGCCCTGAACCCGCAGGGGGTCCTTCGCGGCCCCCTTGTCCCCCAGCGTATCCTGCGTACCTTTCATTTCCGTCCAGCTACGCCCCTGAGTGTAATAAAATGCCGTGATGAACCACTGACATTTACATCTGTAAAACAATTGGTTTTCATATTAAATGATATTAAATTACTTGTATACAAAATTGTTTTTTAAGCTTGAGGTTTATAGAGAAAATAGCTAATTGCAAATAATTTAGCAAACGTATTATGTTTAGATAGGCATAATTTCAAACAATAAAATTCCTTTGTTTAATATTAAAAACAGATAACAATCTGTATCTAAATTGAACTGCAATATTAAAACTTTTTATACTAAATTAAATACATGTATAATGGTGAATTTAAACAATGTAGTCTGATTCAAACATTATATAGTATATCATTCCAGATTAATAATTATTCCATTATAAGAAAGTTTACCTGTTGAGTTTTACCAATAAAAAGTTCATTTTCTCTTTTTCAAAACTTCAATACAAATGAGATACATATTTTGACTTTAAACAAATTAATTCAAACAAATAATTCAGCCTGATTGTTTTGCTTCATCAATATATATCATTTTCTATATACACAGATTCAGCGTAGATTTTTTTTTAAACAAACCATTCCTTTAATTAAAATGGTTTTAAATTAGCGAGTGTGAAAGGAACACTATTACGTAATACTCAACACCTAACAATGTAAGGAAAACGTTGAGCGGCAATTAAAAGAAGCTCGTAAAATAAAACTGAGTGACATGAAAAAAGGGTTTCATTTAAACCCAGACACACATTTCCCGTTTGCAAATAATTAGTTAATAATTAGTTTAGCTTAGTTTCAAGCTATGTTTCAGATTCTTAAACAATAAGACACTGATAACATGCATATGTTCAGGAATGAAAGATCAATCATTACGTTATTGTACAATTGCTAGCTTTATTATAGTATTTATGCATTTTTAAAAAAGAACAGTTTAAAACAATAAAGAAATATGTCACACAACTAACTCCTAATCCACTGGATGGAAAATGAAATGTTTTCTTGGGTGGACTATAATATCTTTTCTTTGATTATTATAATTGATTCTGAAATAGAAATAATTCATGTTAGAAGGACTTTTGTGTGTCAAATTGTCAAAAAGTAAATTGCGTGTTTAACAGAATACAACAGGCTCTTACGTTGTCTTTAGATATAATTTCGCACTGTATATTTAATGAAATATTTTTTACTTTACCATGCAATGCGTGTTATACAATATGAGCAATCATATTTACAGAGAATCTAGTAGGTAAAAATGTTTTTCTTTAAATAAAGCATCATGTTCGTAGCATCACTTGCTCAAAAATACATGTATTATTGTTGTATAATTGGTAAGTTGTATTATATCCGTATGCACGGTGTTTTCTTATTGTCATATCGATCTTTTAGGTGTTTTTGATATATTATGCATAATGATTATTGACACAGCACCTTACCTTAATAACAAACCAAAGGAATGAATTTTCAGTTTCTTTTTCAAGCTGATACTCACTGACTCGCATGTGATTAAATTCACACGTTACCAATGTCACTATTGATGAAGATTTACCATACTAGTGTGTTTTTTAAAAAAAAAACATTTATCATGAATCAAACAAACAAGCTTCAAACTTGTTCATACGTATGAACAAATAATTTTCTCAACTTGTCAAGTTTTTGTTCATACGTATGAACACTGCATAAGTTCAGCAATATTGAGTATTTTTTAACAAAATTTTGTTCATACGTCTGAACAAAATTACCTCACATACTGAACAAATAGCACATAAATTAGACAGACGCTTCAATGTTGTTCATACGTATGAAGAATTGTGTTTTCAACTAAGGTTTTTGTTCATACTTATGAACACTTCATCACAATCTGTTGTGGTCATTTTGAAACAAATTTGTTCATACGTCTGAACAAAAACTCACATAGCAAAAAATAGCCACTTCGATTTTGTTCATACGTATGAACAAAACTATTTTTTTTACATTGGCAGGTTTTTGTTCATACGTATGAACACTGTCATATTTTCAGTAATTTCGTGGTTATTTTGAAACCAATTTTGTTCATACGTCTGAACAAAACTAACTCACAATGCGAAAATAGCACATTAATCAACATTTCAATTTTGTTCATACGTATGAACACTGCATTATTTTAGTAATTTTGTGGTTAATTTGAAACAAATTTTGTTCATACGTCTGAATAAAGGAAACTCACGGAGCAAAAATAAAGGACAAAAAATTAGCCGCTTCGATTTTGTTCAACTTGTGACATATGATTATGAACAATGCATATTTTCATAATTTTTTGGTTATTTTGAAACAAATTTTGTTCATACGTCTGCACAAAACAAACTCATAGTAAAAAATAATTAACACACAAATTTGCAGCAGCTTCAAGTTTGTTCGTACATATGAACAAAACAAACTCACAGAGTGAAAATAGCACATAAATAACCTGCTTCGATTTTGTTCTTACGTATGAACAAAACAAACTCACAGAGTGGAAACTAGCATATAAATAAGCCGTTTCGATTTTGTTCATACGTAAGAACAAAACAAATTCACAGAGTGAAAAATAGCATATTAATGAGCCGCTTCGATTTTGTCCATACGTATGATTAAAAAACACACATTTTTCAACTGGTCAGGTTTTGGTTCATATGTATGTAATTTCAACATCTTTGTGCTTATTTTGAAATGAATTTGTTCATACGTCTGAACAAAACAAACTCTCAAATGATTGAACAAACGTCTCCGAAATTGGAGAGAAAGATAAGAGTAACAGTAATTACATAAAATAAATACACTTTAAGATATAATGTTCATACGTATGAACAAATGTCCCTTAAAGGCATCATTAGATTAGAGTAAAACAGTGTTTAATATGAATTCAAATTTGTTCAGACGTAATGATGATGACTATTTCTTTCATAATTTGCCAAGATAAACATTTTCAAACATCAAATATAATTACATATAATAAAAATAATTCAAGATATTTTGTTCATACGTATATGTAAATAAGCGACTGTTTTGATGGAAAAAGCATCATGTATATTCACATACAAAGGGCAATGCTTTATGTCTGTAATAATTTTGATGTTTATATGTTGACTACTGTTGCCGATGCCATTTGGCGTGGATTGCAGTGCACTTTCCATTGTTGAATAAATCTGAGCTTGCAACATTTTCAACTTTGTTATAGTAAATTGAATTTCATCAAATGGTTTTTCCAATTTTTCATATTAATTGACTGTGCAAAATGACCGCTAAGATTGAGATAAGAACCGCACAAAAACATTTATTATTAATTCTGAGAATATTTCTTTGATATCCTTCGTCATTTTGTTTCCTTTTTTGTAGTGTTTTACATGTTCTAAGTATGTACATAATTTTTAAATCTTATCTTTTAGGCTTTCCGACCTCAGTGTAGCTCCTTTTAAAGACTTTATTCTTACTTGAATTAACAATAATTCCATAACAATCATTTAAAAGGATTAAGGTATTAGGACCCTAATGGGCACTATAAGGAACTAAAAAATTGACATCATAGGTCAGATGTATACCTTAAAGTACACCTGTATGCAAAATTTAAACATAGTTTACCGTACGGAAATCAAGTTATGGCCACTTTTCTGAACTCAAGCTAGGATGTTATGAGGGCCCTTTTTTAGAAATAAGGAACCTTTAAATAATCTGCAATAACTTTCTTATGAAAAATGTTTTCCAATCAATTTTTGGTAAGAAACAAATAATACCATTAAGCTAACAATCCACATATTAAGCAACATTATGGTTTCTACTTAAAATTTATGAAATCTGTATAAAAATGTTACCCTACCCCACCCATTTTTACCACGTGTCTGACCAATTTTTTACTTAGGGAGCCTAATTTAAAAAAATCTTAAAATTTACCCAAATGAGTGCCTGTTTTCAAAGTTTCCCTAAATTTTTAAAAAAGTATATTGGTTGATCTTGTGAAATATGAAATACTTTTACCTTCTAGTTTTGATTATATTACACTTTGAAAATATCAGACTAGATTTAGCATAATTTAGCCAAGAAATACCTGTATAAATTAAAAAATCAAAATTAAACACTTTTTTCTTTCCAAATGTGACATGAGAGATACATAAATAATGTTAAAAGAAAAAAAGAAAGAAAAAAAAGTTGACCCATCTGGGGATTGAACCCATGGCCCTCATTTTCAATGTAGTTAACAGTAGTTCTAGCCTATTTGAATACTCTTCAACGCGGAGGTAATGAATTAGGGTGCTAATACCTTAAAGGCTATTAATGCACAAAGTAACATTAAAGGATCATATTCTGTTTAATAATATTTTGCTGTGATATTACAATCTCTTTTCTTTTGTTTGAAGACGACGGTTATTCTCATAACATTTGTTTAAGTAGTTTTAAGAGCTACAAAGAAAGAGCTACTAGAGAAATGATATAGAGACACTTGTGTTCTATCGATCATTTAAATCCCTAGATAGTTTGAGACGTTTGAAGGAGGAGATAATGAAGAAGAGGTTTAATACAAACCAATACTTGAATGAAAAACAAATGTTCGAGTTTCATGTTCTCTGTTTCTTTTTTATCGTTGAAAATATTGAGTATTTTGTAAA